CCGCAATCGTCAACATCATCACCACGATAATTTCTAGAATGTTCTCTACCGAACTGCATGGAATGTAGCTCCTTGAACCAGTGCAGAACTTGCAATCCTGGCTATTTTTGGTACCCACCCTATCAGGCTTGCACCAGTCAGTTATTACCATTATCTGTAGTAGTAGTGGTAGTAGTAGTAGCAGTAGTAGCAGTAAGTTACAATAGTTGCAGTAGAAGTAGTAGCAGTAGGTGTAGCAATTCTTGTAGTAGAAGTAGTAGCAGCTGTAGTTGTATGCCGCTACTGATGACATTAATAGAATTCATGGTTATGATGATGATTATTATTATTATTATTGTTATTATGAAGATTGCCCCATAAGCAACTGCCTGCAATGTGACTCGCTGACCAACTGCGCCAAATGCCAGCCCAGATACTTCTGGAATGGAAACCAGTGTATCTGTAAGTGTTGAATGGTCGATTGATGGGTTGATTGGTCGATTGTTTATTCGTTCATTCATTTATTTATTCATTGATTGACCGATTGATTTATTCATTCATTCGTTCGTTCGTTCGTTCATTCGTTCGTTCGTTTGTTCATTTATTCATCCATCCATTCATTCATTCATTCATTCATTCATTCATTCATTCATTCATTCATTCATTCATTCATTCATTCATTCATTCATTCATTCATTCATTCATTCATTCATTCATTCATTCATTCATTCATTCATTCATTCATTCATTCATTCATTCATTCATTCATTCATTCATTCATTCATTCATTCATTCATTCATTCATTCATTCATTCATTCATTCATTCATTCATTCATTCATTCATTCATTCATTCATTCAACCGTTCGTACATTCAGATTGTCCCATTTCTAACTGCGACCTCTGCCAATCGACTACGACATGTGCAACTTGCGGTAACGGATACTTTTGGGATACTTTCGCTAATCCGCCAACCTGTTCCGGTTCGTTGGTGATTGGTTGAGTGAATGATTGGTTGAGTGAATGGTTGGTTGGTTGGTTGGTTGGCGGTCAGTGGGTTGGTTATTTGATTGATTGAATGATTGGTCAGTTGGTTAATTAATTGATTGTTTGTTCACTCATCTATTTATTCATTTATCCACTCATTCATCCACTCATTTATCAGTTTTGTGTCCAAACCAAGTGGACATCATGTTCACCATAGACAATTCAGGTTTTGGCATTTAAAAAATTAAATAATTTATAAATTTTTTATATAATAATAATAATAATATTCATCATCATAATACTAATAATAATCATCATCATAATAATCATAATTATAATCATAATAATCATAATGATGATCATCATCATCACCACCATCATCATTATCAGGAATGTTGGACCGCCAGAAGTACAATGACATCTTGAACTTCCTATCAAACCTCGTCTTAAGCTTACCGCTTTCAAATAATCAGGTTATGATGATGATCGATGGTAATGATGGTGATGGTTATGATGATGGTGATGGTGGTTATGACGATGATGGTGATGATGATAACGACGATGATGATGACGATTATGATGACGATGACGATGACAATGATGCTGATGCTCATGATGATGATGATGATGATGATGATGATGATGATGATGATAAGAATAATGTCTAAATACCGATAGTTATTAACATAATACTCGGTATTTGTAACTTTAAATAAGCAACACAAATACACACAACAATACCGATAGATTCGAGTTTCAATAGCTATAGCTTCATCCGGTATTTATAACAACCTAGTTATAATCATATTCATAATAGTCACAAATACCGATAAATACCTCAAATACTCTCAACAATACCGACAGATACGAGTATCGATGACAATAATTTCATCATAATAATCACAAATACCGATAAATACCTCAAATACTCACAACAATACCGACAGATCCGAGTATCGGTAATGACGTACAGCGATTACCCGGTATTGAATATACCATTCACAGTCAACCAGAACTTGACGATGACCGCTGCACAGATGAGGAACCTCTCCTATTCTGGCCAATACGCTGACCTTGGAGCTGCCCTGAAGTAAAAATTATAATTATTAATAATATAATTGTAATTAGTGTTATTACGTTTGTTATTATCATTAATATAGAATTCTAATTATTATTAATATGATTATAATTAATGTTATTACATTTGTTATTATCATTAATATAGAATTAAAAAAAATTATTTTTTGATTTTAATGTATAAACGTACGTACGTATACACATATATGTATTCTCTCTCTCTCTCTCTCTCTCTCTTTCTCTCTTTTTTTCTTTCTCTTTTTCTCTTCACACATACACAGACACACACACACATACATTTACAGACAGTTATACAAACAAAACACACGCATCCACACAAAAACATACACACACTGAAAAAGAGAAACACCGACACACAAACATACACACACACACACAAACACACATACACACACACAGAAAAAGAGAAAAACCGACACACAAACATACACACACACACACACACACATACACACAGAAAAAGAGAAACACCGACACACATACACCACACACACACACACACACGCACGCACACGCACGCACACACGCAGGCAGCTATACAACACGACCATCTTGAATTCATTGAGGCCGGCGCCCGTTTTAGCTGTGGCCGTGGTGGTCAGTAATGGAGTGACCACAGATAGGAACGCCACGCTAAATCAAGCCATGCTTATTAAGAACCAATCTCGATTTGTTGTCTCCATTCTCACGGTTGGAAATTTCAAGGATGATTATGTCATTAGCCAGGTTGGCTGGTTTGATAGATAGACTGGTATTTTGTTCATTTGCTTGTGTGTTTGTTTGTTTGTTCGTTCGTTTATTCATTCGTTCGCTCTTTCGTTCATTCATTCATTTATTCATTTATTCATTTATTCATTCATTCATTCATTCATTCGTTCGTTCGTTCGTTCGTTCCTTCATTCATTCATTCATTCATTCATTCATTCATTCATTCATTCATTCATTCATTCATTCATTCATTCATTCATTCATTCATTCATTCATTCATTCATTCATTCATTCATTCATTCATTCATTCATTTATTCATTCATTCATTCATTCATTCATTCATTCAGATAGCCTCCTACCCTTATTGGCTGAGCACCTTTCAGGTTCCATCGGCCAGCAGTTTAACCACCATTCAAAAATCTCTCACAGAATTCACTTGCAATAGTTGGTGATGATGGTGGTGGTGGTGATGATAATGATAATGATGATAACGATGATGATGATGATATTGATGATGATGAGGAGGAGGATGATGATGATGATATTGATGATGATGAGGAGGAGGATGATGATGATGATAAAGATGATGATGATAATTATGACGATGATGATAATTACTTTAAACTTAAATTCACTTTTAACTTTCTTCCACGTCCATTTTTTTTAACCCAAATTCGTCTTCAACCTCTTCCGCCCCAGGCAAAAACGAGTGCCAGCCTAACAACCCGTGTCAGAATGGTGGGAGCTGTGTGGATCGGATCAATTATTACGAGTGCTTCTGCTTGCCTAACTGGAGAGGAAAGAACTGCGACGCTGGTTAGGGGAATGATTGAATGAATGGATCGATGAATGGATGGATTGATGAATGAAAAATAAACGAATGAATGAAAGAGTGAGTGAACGAATGAAAAAAAAAGGATAAAAACAGCGAATTAAAAAAATTATTTGATCTGTGGATGAATAGAAGAATGATTGAATAAATATAGATAGATAGAAACAAACACCCACGCACACACACGCAAACAAACGCACGCACACACACAGCAAAATGTACCTCTTCCGGGGACATTGTATTTGTGCTGGACGGATCCGGAAGTATAGACAACGGAAACTTTTTATTGGTTGTTCAATTCGTTCAAAACGTCATCAGTCAATTAGATGTAGCCACCTCGCCAAACGATAACAACGACTTTCAGGTCAAGATAATGATGATAATGATGGTGGTTGTAATGATGATGGTGGTTGTGATAATGATGATGGTGGTGATGGTGATGATGATTGTGATAATGATGATGATGATAGTTTTGATTGTGATGATGATGATAGTTTTGATGATGGTGATGATGATGATGACCACGTAAACAATATTCCTAAAGTAAATATCGTTATAATAATTAGAAGGATGGGTGATGGTGACAACAGAAATGATGATGATGATGATCATAATAATAATTATTGCATATAATAATAATTAATATTATAATTATGATATTATAATTATAAGGTTGGATTGATAGTCTTCTCGACACAGCCAAGAGTTATTTTCTACCTCAACTCCTACTATAGCAAGTTAAAAATGATCGAAGCTGTCAATGTACCATTCACCTCAGGAGACACAAATACAGCTGACGCCATTTTGTAATTTTATTTCTTTATTGATTGATTGATCGATCGATCGATTGATTGATTGAATGGTTTTTTGATTGATTGAATGGTTTTTGATTGGTTGGTTGATTGGCTGGTTGATTGGTTGATTAACTGACTGGCTGAATTAATTCACCCATGTAATCATTTACGTATTTATTCATTTTGTTCATTCATTCATTCATTCATCCATCCATCCATCCATCCATCTATTTATCCATCCATCCATCCATCCATCCATCCATTCATTTCATTTCATCCATTCATTCATTCATTCATTCATTAGCCTAGCGCGAACGCAGCTGTTTAACCAACTCCATGGCGATCGTCCGAACTCTCCTAACATTCTCATCCTCTTAACTGACGGTCACTATTATTATTATTATTATTACTATTACTATTATTATAAATATTAAATTATTATTATCATTTTTTTATTTTATTTTATTTGTACTGCCATTTCTATTGATTTTATTACTGAATAAGAGATTGTTCCCATTATTATTATATTTATTATTATTATAACTATCATTATTATTATTTGTATTATTATTATTATAATTATTATAATTATAATTTTTATTATTATTATTCTATCGTCACCATCGTCATCAGGAATGTCGAGCAATTCAACAGCAACCTGGCAAGAATCCTCGAGGGCCAGAGCTTCCGGCATCAACATTATCACCGTTACTATCATTATCATTACTCATAATATAAACAATAATATAGTTATTATTATAAATATATTATATTATAATAATAATAATATTAGCAGTAGTAGAAGAAGCAGGAGTAGCAGCAGCTTCTGTGGCTACAACTGCATCAGCAACATAATAGTATTAATTATATAGACACAATAACAATAGTAATAATTAATTATAAAATAACAGCAAGTATAATAACAATTATAATAATATAATAACTATAATAATAATAGGTCGGTGTAGGCCAAGATATCGACATGAACGAGCTGATAGCTGTGGCTACTTCAACGGCTCCATCGTCGCCACAATCGAACGTTTTTGTCGCTTCAAACTATTCTACACTATCAACTCAGCTAACTAATAATCTCAGTTCAGCTATTTGCTCTGGTTGGTTGGCTGGTTGGTTGGCTGGCTGGCTGATTGGTTTGACACTGGTAATTCATACGCACACCACACACACACACACACACACACAAACAAACACACACAAACACACACACACAAAAATACACAGATTTCAGACACTGCAATGCCTCGTCTTGCCAGTTCAGAGGTCAGTGTGTCGAAGAGTTCGGTGGCTTTTCGTGTAGATGTACCACAGGTTACACAGGCATCTACTGTGAGAGAGGTATTTTAGTTGCGAAGGGTTTCATTAAGTTGTGTTTTAATCTGTACTTACAATTATGAAGCGTCTACATGCCTTTTTTATCATGTTTGTTATCTATAAGATAAGATTATGAACCGAACGTTCTTTCATTCCTTCATTCATTTCTTCAGTCAGTCAG